CTGTGGGAGTGGCCGTGACGTTGGCGGTTAGTCTCATTGAAAAGAATAACAAAATAAGTTGCCTGCGGATCGGAAGGTTGTGGGTTCCCAACCTGAGAGAGCCAGACTTTTGTTTAAATGACCTTGGCACCTAGGTCGACCTTGCCTTGAGTGGGTACCAGGTGCAGTCCTCGGAAGTAAAGTCGGCGGCGTGACCACCGAACCCACCAAGTGCCGATTGGTCTATGAAAATGTAAGTCTAGCCCCATATTCCCAACACGGCCAAAGGCGTGATAATAGGGACCTTCACTTTACTATATTATCCTGTGATGTGGTATGTAATCTCGTAGGATGTTATGTTATATTATCTTGTGGTATATTATGTTATGTAATCGCGTGGTATATTATCTTCTGGTATCCTATGTTATGTTATATTACCTTCTGTTATGTTATCTTGTGGTATGTTATGATGTGTTATCTTGTGGTGTTAGTTATATTATCTGCGCCAGAAAGAAAAACTCCATCACCATACTTATAACCGAACTCGGGTCTCCCGCATGAAAGCCTGCCGCTGCAAGTGCTCGACCAGCCAGTATTCAGTTAGGCGTTAACTTTACTTTAATTGACGCCAATGCAGTCCCGAGTCTACTCGGTTCTCTCGAGAAAGGGCAAAAATGGAAGTTAGAAAATAAAAAGGAGTTGGGGGAGGGTGATAGGGATAGTGGCGAAGTGGTCGAGCAATTTTCCTTGTGTTCTAAAAGTTGCGGGTTCATTCTGTTTATGAGTTAGATTCTTTGTGGAGATTTCCCGGGATCGTCGCTTGAGCTGCAGAGTTTATGATTTGTGCGACGCAATCGGCAGACGGCTAGTTCATCGGCGGAGAGAGGCCGAGCCATAGGGGCACAGTGTAGTAGATTCTCTCTTTTTCTACAGGAACTTGAAGTGGGCTCAATAACGGTATTACAACAGCAGCAGCAGCAGCAGCAGCAGCAGCAGCAGCAGTAGCAGTAGCAGTAGCAGTAGTAGTAGTAGTAGTAGTAGTAGTAGTAGTAGTAGTAGTAGTAGTAGTAGAAGAGTAGTAGAGTAGTAGAATAAAAGAGTAGTAGTAGTAATAGTAGTAGTATTAGCAGCAGTAGTAGCAGTAGCAGTACAGTAGTAGTAATAATAGTAGTAGGAGCAGCAGCAGCAGAAGTAGTAGAAGTAGAAATAGTAGTTGTAATAGTAGTCGTAGTTGTTGTTTTAGCAGGAAGAGTACTTGTTGTTGTTGTTATTGTTATACGTGTTGTTGTTGTACTTGTTGTTGTTGTACTTGTTGTTGTACTTGTAGTAGTAGTAGTAGTAGTAGTAGCAGCAGCAGCAGTAGCAGCAGCAGCAGCAGCAGCAGCAGCAGCAGCAGTAGTAGTAGTAGTAGTAGTAGTAGTAGTAGTAGTAGTAGTAGTAGTAGTAGTAGTAGTAGTAGTAGTAGTAGTAGCAACGGCAGCAGCAGCAGTAGTTGTGGCAGCAGTATTAGTATTAGCAGCAGAGACAGTTTTAGCAGCAGTTGTAGTAGAAGCAGCAAGCAGCAGTAACAGTAGCAGCAACAGTAGTAGTAGTGGTAGCAGCAGCAGTATTAGTAGCTTATCAGAGTATGGACAATAGTAATAGCAGCAGCAGTAGTAGTGGAAGTAGTGGAAGTAGTAGTGGTCGTAGTGGTTTGGTCTGGTCTGGTAGTCTTAGTTTCAGCTTCATAGCAAACGGGTTGCCCCATCTTTGCTCCGCTCCTGTGCCAGCGAAAAATACTCAGAATGTCTATCACAGTCCCTTGTGGAAAGATTGACAGACTGTTGTCTCAGCATATCTAGCATACACTCGCATTAAAGCATATGGTAGCCATCCGAAGTGCTAACACAAACAGTCCAACATTAGAAATGCAGTTCATCATTGATGATAGCAGAACTTGTAGTCAACAGATCAGCAGTTGTCCGCGTGATCCATTTTAATACGGGCCCCGCCAGCATTGAACGACAGGCATCGCGCCATTTTCTGAATCTACAATTCACACCACCACGTTGGTCACAGTCGAAAAAAAACATTCCAAATGCAATCCGCAGCTCACAGGGTCACGCCATGCATTCAACTCAGAAGCTGGGCGACGAAACTATATCCAGTCTACAAATGGAGCAAAAATGCATCGGCCACCGTCCGGCAGAAGCAAAAAATTTGCCTCTGTTCCGAACGGCGCCGCTGTCTAGCGTCCATTTTAACCGGAAGACCCGGTCGTAGTGGTGCTGGTCACATCAACAGCAGCGGTAAAAGTAGCAGCAGCAGTCGTCGCAGTAGCAGTAGTCTTGGGAAGATATCACTAACAGACTGACTAGTGCCAAGATGGCTACTGCAAGCGGTGACCTCTCTTCTTCCTGTTCACAGCTGGTTCTGGTTCCCTGGAGCTACACCGAGTACGTGTCGCGACCGGCAAACCACGTGGAGTTGGTGAGTGCTTTTTTGTCTATCGGCACCACTCACACATCTCTACCTTGTATCAGTTATCCATATATCCAGTCTCTAATATATGTTTACATTATGACAGATTTATCTACCTTGCATCTGCCATATATCTACACTGCATCTATTAAATATCTACTTTGCGTCTATCATTTATCTACATTGTATATATCATCTGTCTTCAGCGCATCTTATATAAATCTACACTGCATCTATTATACATCTACTTTGCGTCTATCATTTATCTACTTTGTATCTGACATCTGTCTACAGTGCATCTACCATATATCTACACAGCATCTACCATATATCTACATTGCAGCTGTTACATATCTACTTTGCAGCTGCCATCTCTATACCTTGCAACTATTATCCTTCCATCTCGCATCTACAATCTATCTTCCTTGCATCTACCATCCATCTACCTGGCACCTACCAGCTATCTACCTTTCATCTACCATCTATCTACCTGGCACCTACCAGCTATCTACCATCTATTTACCTGGCACCTACCAGCTATCTACCATCTGTCTACCTGGCACCTACCAGCTATCTACCTGGCACCTACCAGCTATCTACCTGGCACCTACCAGCTATCTACCAGGCACCTACCAACCATCTACCAGCTATCTACCTGGCATCTATCAGCTATCTACCTAGCACCTACCAGCTATCTACCTGGCACCAACCAGCTATCTACCATCTATCTACATGGCACCTACCACCTATCTACCTGGCACTTACCAGCTATCTACCATCTATCTACCTGGCACCTATCAGCTATCTACCATCTATCTACATGGCACCTACCAGCTGTCTACCTGGCAACTACCACCTATCTACCTGGCACCCACCAGCTATCTACCATCTAACTACCTGGCACCTACCAGCTGTCTACCATATATCTACCTGGTACCTTCCAGCTATCTACCATCTATCTACCTGGCACCTGCCAGCTATCTACCTAGCACCTACCAGCTATCTACCAGCTATCTACCTGGCACCTACGTTATATACCAGCTATTTACCCAGTATCTTCCAGCTATCTACCTGGCACCTACCAGCTATTTACCTTGCACCTACCAGCTATCTACCATCTATCTACCTGGCACCTACCAGCTATCTACCAGCTATCTACCTGGCACCTACCAGCCATCTACCAGCTATCTACCTGGCACCTACCAGTAATCTACCAGCTATCTACCAGCTATCTACCTGGCACCTACCAGCTATCTACTTGGCACCTACCAGTTATCTACCTGGCACCTACCAGCTATCTACCCGCTATCTACCTTGCATCTACCAGCTATCTACCTGGCACCTACCAGCTATCTACCAGCTATCTACCTGGCACCTACCAGCTATCTACCATCTATCTACCCAGTATCTACCAGCTATCTACCTGGCACCTACCAGCTATCTACCATCTATCTACCTGGCACCTACCATCTATCTACCTGGCACCTACCAGCTATCTACCTGGCACCTACCAGCTATCTACCAGCTATCTACCTCGCATCTACCAGCCATCTACAAGCTATCTACCTGGCACCTAACAGCTATCTACCATCTATCTACCTGGCACCTACCAGCTATCTACCTGGCACCTACCAGCTATCTACCTGGCACCTACCAGCTATCTACCATCTATTTACCTGGCACCTACCAGCTATCTACCATCTATCTACCTGGCATCTACTAGCTATCTACCAGCTATCTACCAGCTATCTACCTGGCACCTTCCAGCCATCTACCAGCTATCTTCCTGGCACCTACCAGCTATCTACCAGCTATCTACCTGGCACCTACCAGCTTTCTACCAGCTATCTACCAGGCACCTACCAGCTATCTACCTGGCACCTACCAGCTATCTACCATCTATCTACCTGACACCTACCAGCTATCTACCTGGCACCTACCAGCTATCTACCATCTATATACCCGGCACCTACCAGCTATCTACCATCTATCTACCTGGCACCTACCAGCTATCTACCATCTATCTACCTGGCACCTACCAGCTATCTACCTGGCACCTACCAGCTATCTACCAGCTATCTACCAGCTATCTACCAGCTATCTACGAGCTATCTACCATCTATCTACCTGGCACCTACCAGCTATCTACCATCTATTTACCTGGCACCTATCAGCTATCTACCATCTATCTACCTGGCACCTACCAGCTATCTACCTGGCACCTACCAGCTATCTACCAGCTATCTACCAGCTATCTACCATCTATCTACATGGCACCCACCAGCTATCTACCATTTATCTACCTGGCACCTACCAGCTATTTGCCATCTATCTGCCCAGTATCTACCATCTATTTTCCTTGCACCTACCAGCTATCTACTTTACAGCTATCATGTATCTACCTGGCACCTACCAGCTATCTACCATATATCTACTTTGCACCTACTAGCCATCCACCATCTATCTACCCAGTATTGACCATCCATCAACAGTCTGTCATCATTCAGATCGACGAAACATATCCTAGCTATAACCCCAACAATTCACCCAACAGGATCGAGTGACCAAGCTAATGACACAAGCCATTTCCCAAAGACACGGGAAGGTCTACACACACGGAACTGCCTATCAGGTGCTTAATTGTAAGTATAACTTATTCGTTCCCCAGCAGAAGAGATCTGAAGACTGGCGCTGAAGTTTGTTTACTTTCATAGCCTCGTGCTAAGACCAGTTTGGTGACGCAGGTTAAAGGACGTGTGCCTTATACAGTTACACACTGACAGGCTGCCCCCAGGTGGTATACACTTAGTTAATTAGTTAGTATTTCCTCTTGGGCCTAGAACGGCGCAAAGGGCAGAGGTCGTAGCTCTCCATGTCTGGCGGTTCGTTACCACCTGTTTTAGATCCTAGATGTTTGTTAGGCCCGTGGTTGAGCCTTTCCTGATGATGGTTCTACGTAGAGTCGCTCTTGGTTCCTCTCGTTTTCTTTTCCCTTCTGGCGTCTATATGAGGGCTTGGTAGGAAAGCCTTGTCTTATCCATTCTGAGTGCATGACCGATGTAGTTCCAGCGGCCCCTTCTTATAAAACTGGATACATTATTTTGCCTGGTTTCTTGGCTTTTTGCGAATTGGATCCGAAGTCTGTTCAGTGGAGATTTAGTACACTTCTAAATCAATTGTATACGGTGAAATTCTTATATTTGTTAATAATCCACTCCGGAGGGAAGGACGAATTCCAAAAAGAAGAAATAGCAAAAGAGTTTTTCCTTTAGAAATTAATTAAAACGGTTTAATACCTTCCCAGCCCCGAATTTCGCCTATCTATTCTTAGGCAACAAAACTTCACTCGGAAATCGATCTCGGAAATCATTGCAAATACATGTCAATAATTAACCACCATACTTGTTACAACTTTACAAATGTGGCAGAGGTTTTTGCTCATCCCGATGACGTCAATATAATGTAGGCCAAATTAAACGCCCAAATAAAATTTTAATAAGTACGTGTACCTTTTGGATGGAAAAACAAATAACTATTTGCAGTATGACATGAGATAATGTCATTTCTGCTTGATTGGTGTTCCGTTGATTCATCTGCATATCTATAATATTCACCAACTCTCGTTTTTTTTTTTTTTTTTTTTTTAAATTTTTTTTTTTTTTTTAAATTTATCCAATATTGTTTGTTTTTGTTCTCCAAATTATCTGAACACATCGTCATCAATCGAATTGATATGCATATTAAATACTGAAATGTTTTGGTGTCATTTCTCGAAGAAAATTTGCATTTTTACCGAAGAGGACAACCATTCCCTATTTTCAGCACTGGGAACCGGCCTCTGGTCTTCTTTTTTCTCGTCTTATGACTCGCCGGCTATGTCGGAGGAGGGACGAATATTGACTTTTCGGGCGAGTATTAAACAAAACTTTCAACGAAAAACAGGACAAACATCAAAAAAGATGGATACTGGAGTTTCACTGAGTACCCGACGCTCGCCGCTCGCCTGTGTTCACTTAAAGGCTACCAGCTACAGCCCTGGGAAGTAAAGGCGACCGGCGTGTTGTTGACCACATCACCCACCAAGTGCCCATTAGTCTACAAAATATAAGTCTAGCCCTATATGCCCTATACGCGTGATGACATTGAAAAATGTCATGTAGTATTTGTTTGGGGGCTAAAGGGGGGGGGGGGGTGTAACTGTACTGTATACCAGTGATACAGTGGTCAATGATGGAATAACTGGGGGAATCAAATATGACTTTGTGCCGTCTTCCCATTGAAGGTCGGCTATAGTTTACACTGATATTGCGGGGGGAGGAGGGTGGATATGACAATGTAAGGCCCCAGTCACGTCTAAATTGCCATCTTTTGTACCACAGTGGAGAAACCACGAGAACGTGTTCTTTAGACACACACACACACACACACACACACACACACACACACTATATATATATATATATATATATATATATATATATATATATATATATATATATTATATATATATATATATATATATTATTCTTTACTATTATTATTTTCATTTTCTCTACTCTTGGAATGTCTCGCATCTTCAGCTAGAACGGACCCTTCTGATCGCTTCCTATATAGTACATTCCAGTGTCTGATCTTTCTGCGGTCCATCTTCTGTTTGGTCGACTTCTGTCTGTGTTACCACTGTATCTGTATAACATTACCCTCTGTGGTGCCTTGTCTGATGTAAAACTTGTTACATGGCCAAACCATTTGATCTTTTATCTACCTATAAAATTCAGTATTGATTCTGTGCCGACTCTCCTCCTGATATCATCGTTTCTGAGTCAATCATTCCTAGTTACATCTACCATAGTATGTAAACATTTTATTTCTGTCTTTGCGTTCTCCGTCTGTAATCTCCGGTGGACAGTTCTGGCGATTCGTCCACTTCTCTTTTAAATCTTGCTCAACCTGATGTTTGCGTTCACATCCGTTTTACAGAAATGACTTATTGTCCTGCAGATTGTTGGTTTCCTGCCTCTCAGGCAAATGCACTCTGACTTCGAAGGAAGCTTCCTGATTAGTCGACGTAAAAGATACTTGATGGAGGTGCAATGGGTTTATTCTCGTTTTCCCTAGAATGGGACCCTGAAACCCACACGGGGAATATATATATATATATATATATATATATATATATATATATATATATATATATATATATATATATATATATGTATATATATATACACGGGCAATCGAACTATATATATATTATAAATTATGAATATATATATATATATATATATATATATTGCCCGTGTATTTGTGTCTGTGCGCGCGCGTGTGTGTGTGTATGTGTGTATGGCCTGTCGCAGGAATCGAACTCCGGTATTTGAGGATTATAAAATTGTGAAACGCGCTGACTCCCCTGTAAGCCAAAGAGCCGCACCAGTCGTCAATTATTATCATCAAGTGTCCTGCCGACTGTCCTGGGCGATCATAACTCTCCACACCCGCGATCATTCAAATGTATGTAACAGTTGGTGTGCTGATGGCTCTTCACGCCACGACACAAGGCTGTTATGAACCGTCTCACGTTGTCTTTTATCTGTCTATTGTGTCATAGATCTTTCCGGTGGTCACAAAATGTTTCACATTTTTTCTCTTTTCATAGTATCCGACAAAATAATGACTCTGGATTGAAAGAATTCTTCTGTGAAATCAAAACTTGGAATCCTTAAAAAATTTAGTTTAGAATACGGGAGAATACAAATATGAACTTTGTATCTCTGGTGTCGAGGGTTGTGAGTTCAAACTAGACTGGTGAACCGAACGTAACAGTTTGTGATACAAACCCCCGACATTCAGAAGTGGCCTGCCCACTTAACCCACATATCGTCCTCACTAGAAGATCACAGATATCGGTCGGAAGCAGACGAATTAGTAGGACTATAACTTCTCGGTTGGAAACATAAGAATTAACAGAACAATAAAAATTGAACTAATGAAACTATAAATATTTAGTCTGAAACAGATGAATTAGTGAAACTATAACTATTCGATCAGAAATAGATGAATTAATGAAATTTAAAATATAAATTTGGAACCAGTTTAATACCAGATGCAAATATTGGTTAAAAACCATATGAATTAACAAAACTAGAAATATACGGTCAGAACTAGATGGGTTATTGGAAATACAAATATTCGTTCTAAACCACAAAACCGGTGGGTAGACAAATATGACTGAGGTCAATCAACAAAGTTCTGGCTACACTATACCCGATAAACAACCAAGGGGAGGTAACTGATTTAAACTTTACATTCCAAGTGATCATCAAGGCGACTTCCGGAGAGGCGGGGAACGAGTACTGCAAACAAATAAGCCAGTAAAATGGATGTACACGCAAAACTCAGGTCAGGGTAAAAGCCAAAAGTCCATTTTGGACGAACAACCGTGACTTACCGCCGGAATTCACAGCCGGTGAACAACAAGAAGAAGAAAAATCCTCAAACTGTCGGCTGCACTATAACCGATAAACAATCAAGGCGAGGTAACTGATATACACTTTACATTCCCAAAGATCACCGAAACGACAGCAGAGTTTGACATGCGATCTCTGTTGCCCTGTCCTCTCCTAGACGCTGCCAGCGGCGCCTCCGAAGACTGGGCACTGACCATGAAGCCGGGAATCATCGCGCTGTGTTTGGAACTCCGACCAGAAGATGACGCTAGAGGCGGTTTTGTGCTTCCCCCGGACCAGATCGTTCCTACAGGCGAGGAGCTGTACACCGGTCTCCAAGTCATGACACAGGAAATGAGGATTTAGAAAGACAAAATCCTTCAAGATTCATTCACTATTTTCCCGGAAACCTTGTAACAAAAAAATTACTACAGCGTCATCTTCGGAAAGATTTTGCAAGTTTTTCAAAGAATGTCGTCCTCTTTCTAACTTCGCGGAAAGATTCTCAATATTATGCCATCTCTCCTGCCTTAATAAAACATGAGGATGGTTTTTAATGATTGCTGTTTGGAAAACATGATGTTGTTTTTGACCAAGTTGGCTCTGATGTTCACATTTTGTAGCCTATCGATAGGTACTTTTATGTTGTAGGACCAAATCACGTCGGCTAGGAGATTTGGTAGGGAACCCTAGGTATTCCTAGGGTTTTCCCTGGACAGTACCATATTATAGGGGAGTTAGGGTTAGGGCTAGTGTTAAATGAATAGCGAAGCGACTACTACTGAACCTAAACCTAAACCTCCCACACCCCCTCATGCTATGGAACGTTCTTGGGATTTCGCAACCAAATCTCGAAACCAACGTGAAGTGGTAGTATAACATTAAAGAACCTGTTCGTATTTTCTCCTCCTCCCCCCCCCCCCCCCCCCCCATACAAATACAGGCGAACTTTTCGACCAAAGTCTTTATCAACGCATTTACTTGTTAGTGTTATATTTGGTACTTTTTTATATCAACTTTACCGCCCTCACTCGTTTAAACGTCATTAGTTGAGACGTTCATATTTGACACTTCCTGGTGCAGATGCCGCTTCTGGAAGTTCCGTTGACTGGGTAATGGCGCGCAAGCCAAATCTGTACTCTCTGGCATTTGAGCTTAGACCTAAAAATGAAAGAGAGGGTGGATTCATCCTGCAAGCTTCTGAGATCGTTCCTACAGGGGAGGAGTTGTACGACAGTCTAGCAGTTCTTGCCAAGGAAATACGGAGTTAAACAACAGTAATAAATGTGATGACAATATAAACCCGTCTTTTTGTTTGTTGTTCTAACAGCTAATGTCAACCAGATTTGCTGGCGATTAGTCATTAGTGAGGTTTGTCATCACAGCTCTCTGGACATAGATATAGGTGCTCCGATTTCCTTTTCAATAGCCTCATAAGCTTAAAACGACTACTGACGTCTATTCTGTGTTAGTTAATCAGACGTCTTGTTTTCTGGTGAGCTGTTCATGTTTTGCAGCTCCAGGTTGCACCCCTGTATCCACCAGTCTAGACAGAGATGAGGAGTTATGCCCTTTAGTGTAATCGTCGCCGCGAGGATATCTGCTCATGATATTGAAGACATAATTCTTTCCAGTACAGGATCTTCCATAGCAGCCGCAGTGTCTGCAAAAATCTGCACGCTCGTTACTTCGAACACCCGCATGACCCGGCACAAAGATGAAGGTAAGGCCAGTCATTCGTAAAGTGTTTAGTAATACATTCCTTGTCTGATTAACACAGCCTGGATTTTCTCGGAAGTACCTTATTAGACTAACATAGAAACTCGCGAAGCATTGCTGATGAAGTTGAGGTCAGGCATGCTTTATGCAGAGTGGCATGCTTCGCTTTGCAGGTCACGGGTGAGGGGCATTGTCTGGATCTTTTCTCCGGGGTATTTCGGTAGGGCTTTAGAATAGCAAAAAATTGGGTCCAACATTGGGATTGGATTTTGGTATTAAAACCACGGGGTCCCCCCCCCCCCCCCCCCCGCCCCCCAGCGGTAGGTCACACTTTGCTCGTAACACCCGCAGTTGCGGCAGTTGCTCGTGAATTTTTCAGCAACGCTGGTTTCACAATTTTTAAGTGGACCGGGTATTTTGCAATAGAGTTTATCAGCGTTCTTATAAATATTATCCTGCAATCCTTCCAACATCTAGCATACTTACATACTCACATTTAGTGACCCCTAATAGGATATACGTGTAGACAGTATTCACAGAATACACAAACGACCTCGTAGAAGATAGATACGACCCCTAAGCAAAGTGTTGATCACAGCAAGATGGCTTTGACGTTAAACAAACATGACTACATCACTTGACCTTGTCTGCCGTCTGTCCTCTTGTCCACCGCTGATGATGCTGCTGCTGCAGTTGGGTCGTCCTATTTTGTCTTCAGTCTGTTTTAGATGTAGGTCACCAGGGCGGGTTCCTGTGTGTGTCGGTGTGCTTATTCTGTGTGTGTCGGTGTGCTAATCCTGTGTATATCGGTGTGCTAATCCTGTGTATATCGGTGTGCTAATCCTGTGTGTTTGGTCGTCACTGGATTATCTTCCTCGGTTTAATATTGTGCCACTGATTTGAAAACATTGAGTACAGTGTTTGAAGTTTCTTCCTTCCAGACAATCTTTGGCACGATGTAGCAGTCACATTAATAAATTCCCACTGGTCACATGGTAGAAGTCCCACATATCTTCCACACATTGGCTACACGATAGAAGTCACACATATCGTTCACACATTGGCTACACAGTAGAAGTCACACATATCTTCCACACATTGGCTACATAGTAGAAGTCCCACATATCGTCCACACATTGGCTACACAGTGGAAATCCCACATATCATCCACAGTGGCTACATCCCACATATCGTCCACACATTGGCTACACAGTGGAAGTCCCACATATCGTCCACACATTGGCTACATAGTAGAAGTCCCACATATCGTCCACACATTGGCTACATAGTAGAAGTCCCACATATCATCCACACATTGGCTACATAGTAGAAGTCCCACATATCGTCCACACATTGGTTACATAGTAGAAGTCCCACATATCGTCCACACATTGGCTACATAGTAGAAGTCCCACATATCGTCCACACATTGGTTACACAGTAGACGTCCCACATATCTTCCACACATTGGCTACACAGTAGAAGTCCCGCGCATCGTCCACACATTGGCTACACAGTAGACGTCCCATATATCGTCCACACATTGGTTACACAGTAGACGTCCCACATATCTTCCACACATTGGCTACACAGTAGAAGTCCCGCGCATCGTCCACACATTGGCTACACAGTAGACGTCCCATATATCGTCCACACATTGGTTACACAGTAGACGTCCCATATATCTTCCACACATTGGCTACACAGTAGACGTCCCACATATCGTCCACACATTGGTTACACAGCAGACGTCCCAAATATCGTCCACACATTGGCTACACAGCAGACGTCCCATATATCGTCCACACATTGGTTACACAGCAGACGTCCCATATATCGTCCACACATTGGTTACACAGCAGACGTCCCATATATCGTCCACACATTGGTTACACAGCAGACGTCCCATATATCGTCCACACATTGGCTACACAGTAGAAGTCACGAGTATCATCCACACATTGGCTAAAGAAGAGCCACCCTAAGTATCTGCTACACACTGATAAAAAATACTGGCGGCAGGGAACTATGAACTTCCTGTGCTATAATACTGGCTGGCAAGCTAAAAACTCACATATTATTTCAAGATACTACTGGCTACAATGTGGTAAAAAACTGGCAGTCATTTTTCTATTAAATTCCATCTTGTGCAGTCTTTTCATTGCCATGGATTGAACTGAGTTCAGCACCTCTGGTTTCTCTGATTAACGTTCTTTTTATGTCCCATTTCAGTGCCTGCTTGCTGATTCACTGCTCGGTTGTTCTCAGCTTCTCAGCATGTGCAGCATGGTAAAGTTATTTGCAAAAACACTGGCTACATCGGAGCAGTTTCTAACACATCGGAGCACTGTGAAACAAATCGGAGTAGCTTGTAACACGCACAAAAATAGACGACACTACGATACCCACAGACTTACACTGGCTGCTCCTGTCAAACGGTATTTAATTCTACCTCAAATCACAGGGACCAAAGACATCTGCACTAGAACTTCCAAAACTTCCAACTGTCTTGTTATTGTTCCTTGGTTTGTAACGTCAAGTTGTGATTTCTTCTCGTCAGCAACAATCTGTCACCCTCGTACTCTCTAACCGTCTTGTCTGAACACAACTCACGTGATCTGTGATTGTCCTCGTCCGCTGTGCGATTCGCATTCTTGTTGTTGTTGCCTTTCCCTTTGTTTTTCATAATGTAACTAGTCGCATTTCTCCTCCACTCGATGTCGACCTGTTTTTAAGGATTTTGATGGCACAGTGGTCAGTGGCTGACCTGCCAGCACAGATAAGTTAAGATCGATATCATGGCTTTTGGGGCATTCTCACAGGCGCTCCTTCCCCCAATCTTCAGTAGCCAGAACAGAGTTCAAACCCCAAAGTTGCCCATAGCAGTCAGATTGTGTGCTGGTCTTGCATTTTTTCCCACGGTAGATTTGAGTGTCAGCCATGTTTCCACAGAACTTTCCTCTGCTTCATTTGCTTCAAACCACGATGAAGCGATGTTCACTGGCTCCATAAAGGTATTGATAACATTTGACTTGTCAGGTAACATAACATAAAATAACCCTTGACCCGTTAGGGTCGTGAAGGTGTATTGATGAAAGCACTAGCACATAAAACCCGAATTCTTTCTCTGTCTTTTGCTTGATGAATAAGTAAGTGTATGATAACTGAGTTCTGTCTATTTTTTGATGTTGTAATTCCAGGTTCTTTTTGCCCTCCTCTTCTTCGACTACTTTCCAATGTTCCTTGAAGTACAGTCTTTACAATCAATTTACCAACAAGTTTTCCAGAACAAGTCAATCTGTTTGTCTGTTTGTTTATGAACACACATACATAACTGGAGAAAACACCCAAAGGACGCTAACTACAGAAACTCTAAAGGAATGCTTGCCACTCTGCACGGAGCACAACCGTATCAAGCGTTCTAAGAAATGCTTTGTGAGTCTGTTACCATCACGACATGTGTGTGAAGCTGATCCCATGCAGCATAAATGTGTAGATTCAACCACTTTCTAGACTAGATAGATTCAACCACTTTCTAGACTAGATAGATTCAACCACTTTCTAGACTAGATAGATTCAACCACTTTCTAGACTAGATAGATTCAACCACGTTCTAGACTAGATACATTCAACCACTTTCTAGACTAGATAGATTCAACCACTTTCTATACTAGATAGATTCAACCACTTTCTAGACTAGATAGATTCAACCACTTTCTAGACTAGATAGATTCAACCACTTTCTAGACTAGATAGATTCAACCACTTTCTAGACTAGATAGATTCAACAACTTTCTAGACTAGATAGATTCAACCACTTTCTAGACTAGATAGATTCACCCACTTTCTAGACTAGATAGATTCAACCACTTTCTAGACTAGATAGATTCAACCACTTTCTAGACTGAATAGATTCACCTACTTTCCAGACTAGATGGATTCAACCACGTTCCAGACTAGATAGATTCAACCACGTTCTAGACTAGAAATATTCAACCACTTTCTAGACTAGATAGATTCAACTACTTTGTAGACTAGATAGATTCAACCCCTGATACGAGAAAGAAGATGGTGACAAATTGGACAGATCCTGATTTCTTTTTAAGCAGACAGAATTACCAAACAGTATTGAAATGGGAAACAAATTAACAAAGGAAACCACGACATCCAAGACACCTCCTACGATGAATGTCCTTGATTTAAAAAAAAACATCCATGACACGACCGGATATGAGTCTTATCACGTAAAGATTAAGACCCGGATTCAGGTCTTATAAGTAAAGATTAAGACCCAGATATGTGTCTTCTCAAGTAAAGATTAAGACCCGGATGTGAGTCTTATAAAGTAAAGATTAAGATCCGGATGTGAGTCTTATCAAGTAAAGATTAAGACCCAGATGTGAGTCTTATCAAGTAAAGATTAAGACCCAGATGTGAGTCTTATCAAGTAAAGATTAAGATCCGGATGTGAGTCTTATCAAGCAAAGATTAAGACCCAGATGTGAGTCTTATCAAGTAAAGATTAAGACCCAGATGTGAGTCTCATCAAGTAAAGATTAAGATCCGGATGTGAGTCTTATCAAGTAAAGATTAAGACCCGGATGTGAGTCTTATCAAGTAAAGATTAAGACCCGGATTTGAGTCTTCTGTATTAAACATTAAGACCCGGATGTGAGATTTACCAAGTAAAGATTAAGACTCGGATAGGAGTCTTATCAAGTAAAGATTAAGACTAGGATGTGAGTCTTATCAAGTAAAGATTAAGACTAGGATGTGAGTCTTATGAAGTAAAGAGTAAGACCCGGATGGGAGTCTTATAAAGTAAAGAGTAAGACCCGGATGGGAGTCTTATAAAGTAAAGATTAAGACCCGAATGTGAGATTTATAAAGTAAAGATTAAGACTCGGATGGGAGTCTTATCAAGTAAAGATTAAGACACGAATGTGAGATTTATAAAGTAAAGATTAAGACTCGGATGGGAGTCTTATCAAGTAAAGAGTAAGACCCGGATGGGAGTCTTATCAAGTAAAGATTAAGACCCGAATGTGAGATTTATAAAGTAAAGATTAAGACCCGGATGGGAGTCTTATCAAGTAAAGATTAAGACCCGAATGTGAGATTTATAAAGTAAAGACTAAGACCCAGATGTGAGTCTTATCAAGTAAAGATTAAGACCCGGATGTGAGTCTTATCAAGTAAATATTAGTATGTAATGGTAAGGTGAACCAGGGTGAGGAAGGAAAAGAATAGGAACTGAAGAAGTAGACGCAGAAGATAGCAGGCGTGAGAGGTAGGAATTTAATTTTTATCAAAATATTGACAAACTAGCAAGGCTAAACGGAACCAAATGTGTTTATTTTGTGGCTTGTTTTACGTTCTAATTTGGTTTGCAAGAACAATCAAACTGGCGTAGTACTCTTCGCCGGTAGCGACAATCTGTGAGGCCGGAAGAACGAATCCGTTGCTGTTACTAGCTGAAGGTCGAAGTTCATAGCCCATAGCATACAGTCCGGGCTTCTTCACTAGGGCCCAGTCAGAAGACGACCCAGAAGCTGCATCTGTGTCAAACGGATCAATACAAACCGGACATTATAACCCGCGGAATCGAAACAGATTTACCATAATATTGAAAGAAATTAATCATTTCCGATCATGTTCCATGCACGGTTAGTTGTGTTAACACGTGATACTATTGATCAGCATCATCATAAAGTGCTTTGATAAACGTCGCTCACTTCACGGCATTACAATTTATATGTCAGGAAACGTTGGCGACAGATGGATGGAGTCTTTTCGGCGAGTTACAAATCTTCTTCAACGGCTGTGAACTGCGGGGACAATTTCTTGATGTCTTACCACTTGTTGATTCAAGTCTTGTTTCAGAACTAGATTTTTTGGTGCGCGCCCAATTTTACAGAACTGGCTTATTTATATACATACTGTCTCTTCGTCGAAACCCCTCTATTAGTGGGCCTACCCCCTCCCCCCCCCCCCCCCCCCCCCCAGAGCCCCGAAATCTACAAGTGGAGAGTAGGAAATAATAAAGATTTTTTGTAAAATTCACACTAACTGGTAATGTCAAACTATATAGCACACACACACACATCAACAAACGTCGCACAAATATAAGCTAACCATTACATCATTTGTTAAAAAAACGAAAAAAACTTTGTTCGATATCACTGTTCTGTTAAGAATAACAACCCACCAAGCAGCAACAAGAAAAAGGACGACGGCAACAACAACAACAACAAAGTGGATAGAAATATAATCTAAAGGGAAAAGTTCTTGAACTGCGTTTAATTGTAAAGTCTCTGTTGCACTTTATTATTTGTTAAGTTGTACTGTCACCCTATTGGTTGTAATTTATTCTGTGTTCAACTGTACTGCCATCCTATTGGTTGTAATTTATTATGTCTTCACTTGTGCTGCATTACTATTGGTTGCATTGCATTCTGTGTTCAGTTGTACTGCCATCCCATTGGTTGTCGAATTTCATTGTGTGTTCTATTGGTTGCCTTGTTTTATTGTGCTCATATGAGAATTAGTCATCGCAGTTTATTCTGCTCAGATGTGAATATGAGATACTGCAGGCATTTGTTCCTGATCAGTTGTATTTGGCTGTGAAAACTTCCTACTGTTGTTGCTCTGCTGCTCCAGCGACAAGGATGCTGATGTTGTCCTTGTTACGTCTTTAGTTCTTGAGCCAATGTAATAAGACTTGCGTAATACTCCTCGCCTGTAGCAACAATCTCACCAGGAGGCAGCATGAAACCCCGCCTATCGTTGGATGCTGGTCGCAGTTCGAAGCACAGAGTGATGATTCCTGGCTTTGTGGTCAGCGCCCAGTCTTCCGAGTCACCACTGTCAGCGGCTAGAAGCAGGAAGGAAAACGGAGATCACGGATCAAACGATGCAAGGTTCAACGTAAGATGTAAGATGTGTATGATATCTACACACTTGTGTTTGAATTTTGAGGACCACAAGCCATATCCTTGGTAGCTGATGTAGTGTAGCGGCTAAGCGCTCGCCCTCGGATCTGAAAGTCGTACGGTTCAGGTCCGGAAGGAATCGGACTATTTTTCAACAATGACTTGGGCTCCAATGTCGATCCAGCCTTATATGGGTACAAGATAAAGTCCTGTGAAGTAAAGGTGGCCGGAGTAATGATGATCACAACACCCACCGAGTGCCAATTGGTCTATCAGATAAAGATCTAGCCCTATATGTCCAATAGTCTGAAGGTGTGGAAAGGTGTCCTTTACTTACCTACTTACATATTTAATGCTATATCCTTAACTGACATTTAGCCAGCCTGATTAAGACTGTAAGTGAGCACTGATATCTTCTTTGCCCTCCCTGTAAATCGACCCTGTTCAGCCTGTATTATTCAGGTAATAATTAAGGTGGTTGATGTTATTTCTTCTTTTGTGGTCAGATTGATTGTACGGTCCATTCGACTTTTCTTCCAGCGTGTTCTCGGCTCACTACCTGCTGTCTTTTGATGTGGAGGGCAGCTTCTATGTTGACTCCTGCTTGTGTGTAATGTTTATCTTGATTCATTTAGGCTGTTTTCTCAGAAAGATATTAATCCTGAAAAGAACTGTCCCTACCTCTGCTGAACCTTCTGATCCTATGGCTTCTTTCCCATTGGCTGGTGGTGGCGGGAGGTGTCTTTGGTCTGGCTGGGCTGCTTTCTTACAGGCTGTCGACGACTTTGAGGTCAAAGTCGATCTGTTCGTCTATTATCTTTTGTTAGGCGTATGTTTTCTTTATTGTTACGTTGCATTGAATTCTGATTCTTTCTAGTTCGCGTGACTCTCTTTTTATTGCGTGTCAGTTGTTTTAGTTTTGCTATTGTCCTTGTCTACGTCAAATATGGATTTTGCTTTTTACACCGCTTCTATCGTTTCTGTAAAGTAAGATTTGCGTTGCAGCTTTATTTTCTGCGTCCTGTAGCTTTTTTTCTGCTTCGCTCAGCTTTTTCTTTAACTCCTTGATGTATGTTTTATAGCCGCCTTCTTTTGGTGGATTACATGCTCGGTAACGCCTCGCTTCTCCTTCAAACTTCATTGAATGGAGTGTTACCGACGATTTTATTCTTGCATTCTTGAATGTACGGACAGCCATGCTGCTCCATGGTTTCCACAATATTTTGCACATTTCATGTTTATTTTTGGCTTTCTGGAGTCTCAGCCCCTTCTTTTGGCTAGTAGGTATTCGCTGACATCATGTGTTTCGCAGCAATACCTACATGTCTCCACCTCACTTTGGCAGCTGGTTCTGATGTGACAGGTTGTCTGACAGGGAAACACTGTATGCGTTTTCTATTGATTCTCTTCTTCTGTCCTACTGCTTTTCTTTTGCTAGTTGCATAGCTTGTTTTATGTTATATTACGTATTGAAGTGTCTCTTTTACTCCCTTTTCTCTTTCTGTGTCGGTCTTCTTGTGTAGTAAGCTCCAGCTGCTGGCTTATTTCGCTATATTTTGATCAGGTGACCAAACCTTTTAATTTGGTGATATCATATTGAATCATTTACAGGTGCTGTAACTATCAATTTTATTAGTTTTTCGTTGCTGACTGACTCTGTTTTTCTTGTTTTTCAAGCCGTGATTCTTATACAACTCATCTCATGTAATTGTACGTTTATGTTTTCCAGGGACTGACCATGTCGGGCGTATATAGCCCAAACTTTGTATGAATAGCGTATATATCAACAACACACCTCTAATAACTGTTCTAGGTTCTAACAAATGAACTAGTGAATTGTGTGGTTAGGGAGACGTGATTGTTTAGATCCAAGCACGTCCACTAGCAACTCTTGTGTGTTTTGCCATGAAGCTAGTTCTCTTATTTGACCTGATGACTCCACCGAACTGATAGTAGGAAATGTTCCTTGAGGCAAAGGCAGATGTCACGAAATTGACAACCTCGCCTATTGAATTCCAAACTGTCTATAGTCCCAATATGCCACAGTGGATGAAATAAAAGGTTCCTTTAATTCTTCCTTTACAAACAACGTCGTCTCACAGAAAATACATTCTCCTGGTCTGAGTCCTATCAATTCAAGTGTAAGATGCACAGTGCCAGGGGGAATTATAATAAAGAAGAGGGGGAAATGAACCGGAAAAGAAGAAGAAGACGACTAAAAATATAAAAGATATGGGAGGGAGAAATATAATAAATATAAATATTAAAATATTGACAAAATAGCAAGCCTAAACGAAACCAAGTATGTTTATTTTTGGCTTGTTTTACGTCCTAATTTGGTTTGCAAGAACAATCAAACTGGCGTAGTATTCCTCGCCGGTAGCGACAATCTGTGAGGCTGGAAGAACGAATCCGTTGCTGTTACTAGCTGCAGGTCGAAGTTCATAGGTCACAGTATACAACCCAGGCTTTCTTACCAGGGCCCAATCAGGAGACGACCCAGAAGCTGCATCTGTGTCAAACGGATCATTACAAAATGGACATGAATATCCGTTGTATCGCAACAGATTTACTAAAAGACTTAAGGATATAAATCCTTTCTAGCCACGTTCAAGCGCTGTGCTGTGTGTAACCGAGGTAATGCGCGATCAATTTTTATGTGTAAGGACTAAACTGGAGCATATATCACGTCACTTTTTCCTCCTTGTCGCTTCGCTGTTGACAATATGTATCTGCAGCTAGCATTAGAATGCTAGAAACTGCTAGCTTTCACGCGTTAAAGTTTCGAGATGAGTGTTGCAAACATGCGGTGAGCGTTCTTTTTGTTATATTCGAGACGTAAATCGACTGGCGCATTTGTAATAAATAGTAAATAGTATCAGTAAACAGTTCAATTGTTGGGGGGTTTTTTTTTCATTTAAAGGGATAAAAATAGCCGTTACATTCGTGCCTCGTCCGGGTGTGTAACAACTGATGCTGTTGATTCGCATAATAATAAAGTCAGTGCTTTGGAGAACGTCGCTAACTTTACGGTATCAAAATGCACGTGGAAGGAAAGGCTGGCGACAGATGGAAGGAGTCTCTTCGGCGGGTCACAAATAACAATGACACTTTGTAAATGAGCTACTACCTGGGGATTTGAAATTGTGTAGCGAACACAAAGAAGTCTAACAAATCAACTAGCCATTGCACGGTTTGTGAAAGGAAAGCTCAAACTCAGTTAAATGTCACTGTCGTGGGAACAATAACAACAACAACCCACCACAACAGAAACAAGACAAACGACAACAATATACAAATGGAAAACAAATATCAAAAGAAATCTAGAGGCGAAAATTCTTGAGTTAGGTTTAATTAATGTAGACCAGACAGCTATAAAGGTTGGAGGTTCTGTGTTTAGGTGTGTTGCCATCCTACTGGTTGTAATTTATTTTGTGTTTAGTCGTACTGCAATCCTATTGGTTGTAATGTATTCTGTGTTTAGTTGTACTGCCATTCTATTAGTTGTAATTTATTCTGTGTTTAGTTGTACTGCCATTCTATTAGTTGTAATTTATTCTGTATTTAGTTGTACTGCTATCCTTCTGGTTATAATTTATTCCGTGCTTAGCTGTACTGCAATCCTCTTGGTTGCAATGTATTCTGTGTTTAGTTGTACTGCCATTCTATTAGTTGTAATTCATTATGTATTTAGTTGTACTGCTATCCAACTGCTTATAATTTATTCCGTGCTTAGCTGTACTGCAATCCTCGTGGTTGAAATGTGTTCTGTGTTTATTTGTACTACCATCCTATTCGTTGCAATGTATTCTGTGCTCACGTGTACTCTCATACTATTGGTTGTAATTTATTCTTCGATTACCTATACTGCCATCCAATTGGTTGTAACTTATTCCTTGCTCATTTGCAATACGTTCCTATTGGTTGCAATTTGTTATGTGTTTAGTTCTACTGTCGCCCTATTGGTTGTCGAATTTCATTCTGTGTTCAGTTGGTTGCCTTAGCATATTGTGTTCAGATTAGATTTAGTTAATGCACTTTATTTCATTCAGGTGTGAATATGACATATTGCAGGTATTGTTCTCTCTCTGTTCAGTTGTGTTTGGTTGTGGAATCGTCATTTTGTCGTTGCTATGTTGCCCCAGAGACAAGCCTGGTGATCTTTTCCTTGTTATGTTCTTAGTTCTGTAGCCAGTTTAATCAGGCTTGTGTAATACTCCTCGCCCGTAGCCACAATCTCATCGGGTGGCAGCACGAAGCCCCGCCTATCATTGGCGGATGGTCGGAGTTCAAAACACAGAGCGATGATTCCTGGCTTCTTGGTTAGCGCCCAGTCTTCGGATGCGCCGCTGGCGGCATCTAGAGGCGGGAAGGGAAGCGGAGATCAAAGGTCAAACGGTGTAAGGCTCAATTTGTATCTGTCGATATTTATTCATATGTCTCAATACAAGAGCTGATATCTTTTATTATCGTTATGCTAAATATCTTTCGCTGTCCTTGTGACTTTTGGCATTCTTTCTTCTTGTTGTGCAATCTTAAATTTCATTCTTCTGGTCAAGTCGTTGGTTGTTCTATTTTCTTTTTCTTCCTAAGGTAAATTTATTTTTAATAATTTTTTTAATGTTTATTTTTATCGTAGCCAGGGCGTGAACTCCTGACATCTTGTAATTACTATATGTTCTTTTATTTGGACTGCTTAATATCGTTGTTCCTTATCTGTCTATGTTACTGTTGTTCTGTTTAGGCTATTATTTCCACAGTTCCTATTTTCCAGGTGTTCTGTTGAATTTTACTTCTTCTACTCTTGTTAAGTAATAATTTTTATTTCGCCTGCTTGTTATTTTATTCCGCTTTCTGTCCTCTTTTTATATTCATCTGCCACAACTCTTCCTCTTGGCCAAATACTGTCCCACTGGGGTGTACTTATGTAGCATTGCGTGTACAATGGCGTTTTTCGTAACTGACTGTTTGCATCAACAGTGAGCTGTAATTCTGGTGGTAGAACTTTTGGTGTTGGCAAATCTGTGATCTACCTTATGCATTTACTTTGCGTGTGTGAACTTCAACGTTATGCTGGGACTGATATAGTTTTCATTAGTTTTCAGATGGAATAGCGAAGGATATGTTGTGTGATTTCAACTGGCGTGTGCAGGGAGCATTTGTGTGGCAACCCGTCTGAGGTGAAGTTGGAACCTCGACAAACGACTAATCGCCCTATCCGGGGTGTTCCTCTCGTGTATTCTTATAAACAGTTAATGAAAAAGTGTCTTGATCAGTATGTATAAAACAATGATGAAGGAAACTGGTACTGGCGACGCCGAAGTTAAACAACAATAGGAGATTAAGACGAAATCGCAGACAAAAAGAAAATAACAGCAATTTTGAGAACATGCATCTTTTCTTTGGCAACGTATGGTCGCCATTCGTAGACGATTTGGCCATCATTAAAAACATAGGCCTCTTGCACAAAAACATGCTGACCGTATTAGGGCAGACATTGACATAATGTAGACCCTTTGACCTCCCCCCCCCCCCCCCCCCACCCCCACCACCACCACATCTTCTCCAGAAGCATGTCATAACAGTCGACCAAATAGATGCACCTCCTTCGAAGTCACAGTGTATCTGTCTGAGTTACGGGAAACCAACAGTCTGCACACAACGATCTTTAAAACGGCTGTGCGTGAAAATTCTAGTTTCGGAAAATGACATGGACGAATAACTAGAACTTGAGGTCGGAGTTTACAACCGGTGCATGCAAAGAAGACGAAGAAAAATGACAGATATACTTTAAATACATAAAGAAATGAGTTAAATCAAATGGCGGATGGTGTTAGTACTTACAGTTGAGCAGTTGCCAGGCGGTTCCGTGTAGGTAAGTCTGTCCATGTCTATTGGAGATTGCAGTTGTCATTAGCTTGGTAACGCGGTCCTGTTGTAGACAGAGAGCAAGGGTTTGAGTCAATAATTATGTTAATAAAAGTGGATTCTTTGGGATTGGAGAGGTGTGGGGGAAGAAGGGAGGGTGTGGTCTTGGGGTTGCACAAGAATGATATGTTGTAGCTGGCACATCTGTGGTGTGTTGTCATTTGTTTGATATGTTGTAACTGTTGTACATCTGTTGAATGATATGTTGTAACTGTTGTACATCTGTTGAATGATATGTTGTAACTGTAGTACATTTGTTGAATGATATGTTGTAACTGTTGTATATCTGTTGAATGATATGTTGTAACTGTTGTACATCTGTTGAATGATATGTTGTAACTGTTGTACATCTGTTGAATGATATGTTGTAACTGTTGTACATCTGTTGAATGATATGTTGTAACTGTTGTACATCTGTTGAATGATATGTTGTAACTGTAGTACATTTGTTGAACTATATGTTGTAACTGTTGTACATTTGTTGAACTATATGTTGTATCTGTTGTACATTTGTTGAACTATATGTTGTAAATGCTGCAATGAGGAGAGGGTCGGGGGATGCTTGGCGCACTGAAAATTTTCTAGGCGGGAATGGGGGAGGGGGGAACTTAACCACTCCCTCCCCCCACGCCCCCCTATCCCACAATCTTGAGTAAAGGGCCTCAAGATGATAGAGTCCTATGTTGCTGCACCTAAGCGCCTGAACCAACTGATCTTTCCAAAATTATAATTTGATAATCATCTCTAATCACTTCTACAAATGTACAAAAAGAAAAAAAATTATAAAGACATGTGTTTAAAAACATACACTCACACCCACACACACCCACCAACACACCCACACCCACCACAACACACACACACACACACACACACACACAGCAATGCAAACCAATAACAGTCAGATTTCACAGGGACATTTTTTACACACACAAAAACAAATACTATTGAGAATCAAATAATGCAGAGAACACTCACCAACTCAACCTGGTTGGGTGGTCTGGACACGTAGTTGGTGTATCCCCAAGGAACCAGAACGTACTGTATAAAATACAAGATAGTATGTATTATCATCGATGCATCATCATCCATGTATCATCAGTCATCAATGCATCATCATCATCCATGCATCATCATCGATGTATCATCAGTCATCAATGCATCATCATCATCCATGTATCATCATCGATGTACAGATCCTTTGCAATAAAACGACTGTCAACTATAAAGTATGTAGTGCCAGCTGACTAAATAGGGGTACGCTGAAAGTGGATGTGTTTAGTCCTAAAGAGCAGATATCGCAGCCTAGCTATAAACAGCAACACAACATGTTAAGCGCCCTTGTGAGTGCGAACGCAGAAGAAGACGTAGAATCTTGTGGAGACTCGAGTGCTACGGTTGACTGCCAATGCTCATCTCTTTAATTTTTTTTTAAGTTTCGATAACTGCTTATAGAACTTTACACTATCGACATTTGACAGCTCATAAAATGTAACCCTTCGGTGTCCAGAATCGACAAGCCATGATGAATAACTTTCCATGTCAACATTACATTGTCATTGACTGTATATATTTGCTAGCTGAACAATCAAAACTTTTCATTACTTGTGCAATATGCACGATTAGGCATGGCAGAATGTTTAGCTTCCAAGCTATCTGTGCTTATGGCAGCGCTTTGCTAATTCAGTTTCCACTCAGGGGTGGAAGTCTACGGTTTTTCTGCCTACTGGGTTGAGTGCTAGGCGCGAAACTAGGAGCTGTGTTTTCTCATATAGAATGCCTTTAATTTGTGCAGTAGGTATGTCGTAATATTTATTTTGGCCGGTAGCTGATTTACTTGTGGGCTGGCGATACACCTCATGCAATAATTGTGAGTGTGTATGGTCAACTTATCTTCACCGAATACTTCCATCAACGACACAGTACATTTCTGGTGACGACTGTAAGGTTTGCCTTATGCATTTACTGGGTGTGCATATGTCTGGATTGTGCCGGGACTGATTGTTTCATCACCAGTTTTTCAAATGAGACAGGGATTTGCACTGGCTCAGGAACTTAGCAAGTGTGTCTTTGAGCCTGCAGATTTAAGGCTGTATGGCTAGTACTGTCGCCACGACTGTGCAGGTGAGGATTTCATTTTGCCCCTGACAGAAAAAAAAATCTCCAGTCTTACCAAGGGTTCGAAACCGAGTCTTCAACATGAAAGCCTAGCATTCTAACCGTTTGGCCAGCCAGTATGAGCCAAGTGATTGTTGTAAAGTTGAAACCCCTACTAAAACTGAGATGTTTGCAATTACTAATCTGTGTGACCACTGCTTCAATCGGCGATGAACTGGAATCGGACTGTTTGTGTTGGCACTTCTCGCAGCTGCATTATGCATTTAACACTTCTGCATCCTGTTGGCTTTGCAGTGTCAATATTTCACATAGGACGGTGATGGACATGTTGTTGTTGTTAACACAGGAAGGCAGCAACTACGGGGTGAATAGTTTGCCATTAAGTTGAACTGGGACACCTGGTTAACCTGCCTAACATTGTCTCCTGACCAGGGTCTAGACAACTTACCTGAGAGTAAGAGTAGACAGAGACGTAGGCGACCACGTGGCTGGAAAACTCACCTGAGAGTAAGAGTGGACAGAGACGAAGAGCACCACCTGGCTGGACAACTCACCTGAGAGTAAGAGTAGACAGAGACGTAGGCGACCACCTGGCTAGACAACTCACCTGAGAGTAAGAGTAGACAGAGACGTAGGCGACCCTCTGGCTGCATAACTCACCTGAGAGTAAGAGTGGACAGAGACGTAGGCGACCACCTGGCTGGACAGACTGTTAAAGAGATCTCGGATGTTGGCCGTCTCCGGCTCAGAGAATCCAGCAGTGCCTGGGTAGATGTCACTGGTGCAGCTTGTGGAGACACCGGTGGCTGTTGGCAGATAAAGGACATCTTTGGTGGGAGAAACCAGGGGGTATAGAACATGGCAGGGAGATGGAAGGAGATGATTCAAGGAGAGGGAGAGACTGAAGAAGACAAAAAGATAGAGGAAGACAAGAGAAGAATGGGGGATAGGAGACGAGAGAGGGATAAAAAAAATAATGAGGGAGACGAGAGAAGAATACATGATGATGAGGAAGACAAGAGAAGCTGATGAGATACTGAAAGACACAAAAAACCGATGAGATAATGATGAGGTAGAGGGGGCGAGAGGTAATGGGGAGATAGGGGAGTAATAGGAGCAGAAGGATACGAGAAAAGAAGATATGAAGAGAGAGGGTATTCATCCTCAAGTGCCTTGCCAACTGTTATGATCGAGTATACCTCTCAACAATGTGCGATTTTCAACAGCATGTATCACTTCGTGTGTTGACACCCCTCCATGCCATGACAAAGGGCTGTTAAGAAACGTCTTGTGTTGTCAACATGTTCCAGTTTCCTTATTTTCATAACACACGTTAGTTGCTCTTTTTTTTTCTGTCAGCTGTCCAAGGAATGCTAAGGATTCTTCTGTAAAACCGCCGCATCTCCGAGACCTCAAGACATTGTTCGGCTTGTTTATTAAATGCGCAGAATTCACAGCCATATGTTAAATCTAGCTCTATATAACATACAAGAATTCTTTTCATAACCTTCAGTGACATGGATTTATTGCATAGCATGTTTGTTTTGGTATGTCCTATTCGGTTCTTTATCTTTGTGATAAATCTTTCGTTATATATTATCCATGTGTCTAGATACTTACATGTATGTACATATCCTAGAATAACGCCTTTAATTTGTATTATATATCCTAACCCTAACACTATTCTATTCTTTGATTTTACTTTCTGTCTTTCGTTTATTCCAGCTGAGGCCCATTATATCCCTTTCTAGCACCACCGTATCTATCAATCTCTAAGGTTCTTCCTGACTTGTCGCTATCGAGACGGTATTAGAGGGCGCTGCATGTGTCAATACTGCTATGTTTCTTCATTTTTTACACCAGATTCACTTGCTGTCGCATCAAACTTCAATGACAATCGAACAACCCACTTAATCAATGCTTAACATGTTGACAGCGGGACCATAAAGAACTTACTGCCGAAAGCAACGTCGAAGTTTCTGTTCAGATCCACACCGTAGCAGGTGGAGCGGATGTAACGTCTGTTCTTTCTCCACAGGCGGTTCTAGAAGGAGACAGAACGATCATAGCATCACATCACTCAACTGAACGTTCAGCATGTTGTGTAATATTTCATTATAACAGATAGATACTATTTATCGATATTGATATTATTTATAAATTAATTAATTCACAACATAAAATCACACAAGGAATAGACTGACTCTAACATGCTAACGACGAACTAATATAATACATAAGTTAACACAAGAAAAACTAATACAAGACAGACACCAGCACATTACATAAACTGACACAAGATCAGTAACAAACAAAACACCAGTAACAGAAAAACACCAGTAACTAACAAACACCGGTAACAAACAAACAAACACTATTAACAAACAAACATCAGTAACAAACAAACACCCGTAACAAATACTATTAACAAACACCAGCAACACACTAACACCAGTTTTAAAAAAACACCGGTAACAAACAAACACTAGCAACAAACAAACATCAGTAACAAATAAACACCAGTAACAAACAAACACCAGTAACAAACACCAGTAACAAACACCGGTAACAAACACCAGTAACAAACACCGGTAACAAACAAACACTAGCAACAAACAAACATCAGTAACAAATAAACACCAGTAACAAACAAACACCAGTAACAAACACCAGTAACAAACACCAGTAACAAACAAACACCAGTAACAAACACGAGTAACAAACAAACACCAGTAACAAACAAACACCAGTAACAAACAAACACCAGTAACAAACACCAGTAACAAACAAACACCAGTAACAAACAAACACCAGTAACAAACAAACAGCAGTAACAAATAAACACCAGTAACAAACAAACACCCGTAACAAACAAACACCCGTAACAAACAAACAGCAGTAACAAATAAACACCAGTAACAAACAAACACCCGTAACAAACAAACACCCGTAACAAACACCAGTAACAAACAAACACCAGTAACAAATAAACACCAGTAACAAATAAACACCAGTAACAAACAAACACCCGTAACAAACAAACACCCGTAACAAACAAACACCAGTACCTAACAAACACCAGTAACAGACAAACACCTACCGTGCTGTGGGTGTACTCATAGCCATCAGGGTTGGTGACAGGGACCACGTACCAGTCGTACTTGTCCAGCAGGGACCTGGCTGTGGCTTCTCCCGCCGCATAGTCTCTCAGAATCTGCACAACATTCGTTACACTGTATAAACCTCCACTCTGTGTTTGGTTTGGTCATGTCTAGTTTTTGGTTTGTTCAGGTCTAGGTTTTGGTGTGATCATGTCTAGATGTTAGTTTGTTCGTGTCTAAGTTTGTTTTGTTCGTGTCAAGATTTTAGTTTTTTCACATCTCGATTTTGTTTTTTAATGTCTATACTTTTTAAAACTCAGTCATAAATTAAAGATTGTCTTCATAGAAAACATCTATCCATCCACAAACCCTTTTGAATATTTCCCATCAATCCAAATCCAAATCAGCATACACCCAATCTTGACTTCATCGTCTTCTTCTTCTTTTTGTTGTTGTCGACTGAAGTGACGTTGAGAAGAGATTTAATTTCTTGTCTTTTTGTTGTTGTCGACTGACGTGTTTTTGAGAAGAGATGCAATTTCTTATCTTTTGTTACTTGCGTACCTTGTGCTAATGTTATACTGTTTTTACCCATGTCTCTATATCCCCACTCTCTTATTTATTCATCAGTCCACCCACCTACCCATTAATTATCCCATCCACCCAGTCTTTATCTGCCTTGTATTCCATCCATGTATCCATCCACCCACCTGTCGGTCTACCATCCATCCATTTATCCATCCACCCACCTGTCGGTCTACCATCCATCCATTCATCCAAACACATGTAACCACTATTCCAACAAACAACCCATGCATCTATCTCAGTTAGTTATAGTCCTAAACTAACCGTTACAGTCCTAAACTAACCGTTACAGTCCTAAACTAACCGTTACAGTCCTAAACTAACCGTTACAGTCCTAAACTAACCGTTACAGTCCTAAACTAACCGTTACAGTCCTAAACTAACCGTTACAGTCCTAAACTAACCGTTACAGTCCTAAACTAACCGTTACAGTCCTAAACTAACCGTTATAGTCCTAAACTAACCGTTCACCCAACAAAGTCCTAAAATCACTCATGCTGACTCCCAGCCATGCATTAGCAAAGCAAACACACAAAAGAGCATGCCAAACCCATTAAAGAAAATAGAATTACTCTTTGCTGATGAGCGGGCCGTGAGAACAGATACAGTCCTAACCAGCATCACAATCTCACATCCACGAATGAAGAATGCAAAACGAATAATATGAGACTTAACAGAGAAAAAAGGACAGAAGTAATGTCAATAGAAAGAAAGAAGTATGACCTAAAAATAGCAGTGGACTGAATGCAAAGGCATTAAAGGGACATCTGAATTTACATAACTAGAAGCAACATTCACCGAAGATGCTATAATCACAGTCATCCCTTTGTGGCATGCAATTTTTCGTTATTTTGAAGCCCCACCCTGGCTTTTGCCAGGGGCCGCAATATAGCCCGGCCATAAATATGGCCTAATGGCTGAACGCGGTTTCCGGGACCTCTCCACGGGTGATCCTCATCCGCATGGTGGCACTTTGTGTCATCGGGTGTTTATCGCTTGTGTGATGTCCTGGTGGGGCAAAAGTACTACTACTACTACCGAAGATGGTAAATTAAATGAAGACATTAGCATCAGATGCAGCAGAAGTATACCAAGTATTGGGACAGTTAGCTCCCGTTCTGCAATACAAGACAATCCGGATCATTTTAAAGAAACATCTCATGCAAAGCATATTTATTCCCACCCTATGCCACCAGATATGGTTATCACAACACAACATAAACGAAACTTACCATTCAAAAAACTGAGGTCTTTGAGAAGGGCGGCAGGAGTGACAGGAAGAGGAAGAAATCAAGAATGAGGTCATTAAGAGAAAAAGTCGGCACAGAACCAGTTCTAAATAACATTCAAAAACAGCAAATCTAATTCTCTTGGAGAGTATTCCTTGTCAGGTCATATCATAAACGGCAAAAACTAAAAAAGAAGAATGTAGATAGGCCCGAGGTAGACCAAGAAAAATAGGGAAATATAGCATCAGAGAAACTCTAAAACAGAATAGTGTGTCAATAGCCGAGGCGCTGAGAAAAACCAGTAGCAGAAACTCCTTTCTCTCTCAAAACCCGGTGCGGTAAAAGAGAAAGTGAAAAAGAGGAAGCAGAAGAAATCCACAGAGCCTAATCCCCACACAAATAGACCCACCTTCTCGATGAACCACAGATTTGCAGCCGGTGAGATCCACTCTCTGGCGTGGATCCCAGCTTCTATAATGATGACGGGTTTGTTGGTGGCAGCAGTGCCTGTCAGCTGCTCACAGTGGAAAATGATAACTCGTCAATTTTCATAGCGATAGTGACTTTCGATATGGTTCTTCTCAGGGTGGTGGTAGTGGTGGCGATGATGATGATGATGATGATGAAGCTGATGATGATGAGGAGGAGATTGATTATGAGAATAACGATGATGACGGTGAACATGTTAGGGGAAGGATGAGAACGATATTCACGACAACAACGACAAACATTGCTTTCGCTGTAGTACAACGATGAAACACATAATTAGCAAGCACAAGTGTTTAACCCAGCAATAAATAATTGCTGGTGCTGTAGTACAACAATTAAACACATAATTAGCAAGCACAAGTGTTTAACTCAGCAATAAATAATTGCTGGTGCTGTAGCACAACGATGAAACACATAATTAGCAAGCACAAGTGTTTAACTCAACAATAAATAATTGCTGGTGCTGTAGCACAACGATGAAACACATAATTAGCAAGCACAAGTGTTTAACCCAACAATAGGTAATTGCTGGTGTTGTAGTACAACTATGAATCACAGTATTATTAACAGGGACTATAATTTAACATAACAATGAGAAAAACTGTTATAGTACGATTCAAAACTCATGCCGTTCAAATATCTAAAAACACTCCTGAACTAATCAATACGTAATTTTGGACTTGGTCCTAGATTCCCCATGTTATCATGATTTTATAATCCACAATTGCGCAGATACTGTTGTTTTCTTAAAGCGGCGAATTTCTGTGAGCTTTGTGTAACTAATAATAACGTACCCCTGACAAATTAGAACATACTGTAAACGACATGCCTGTGGAAATTGCTTGGATATCAGTTCACATTTGCAGCGATGTGTGATGATTATTTTGATAGCCTATTCCACACTTAATTAAAAAAATCTTTTAACTTACGGGAGACTTATGATGGAGATGACCACCTGAGAGTAAAACGCATATGACACGCCTGCAATCTGAGCTTTTGAAAAGTTTCTCTTACTCAATTTACTAAAGTTACTGTAAATATGCTGAAAGTTTGCTTTGAATCGGTGTCTTTTTTTTTATTTATATACCGTAATAAAAAGGCAAAATGTAAACTAGACGTTTGTTTACATTTTTATTTTTAAATCTTATATGGACATGGTTCTTAACATGTTGCATGTCAAATTTCAACATTTGACACTGAACGTTTACTGAGTTACAGATTTTTAAAGTTCGGAATGATTTCTGGGACTGATTGTAGTGCTTTATTGCAACTACGATACACGGAGCTAACAATGATTGTTGTTCAACTATTGTTTAACCTGACAAGGCCAAACCTGCTTGAGGTGTATAACCACTATGATAAACGGAGCTAACAATGACTATTGTTTAACCTGACAATGACAAAAACTGCTTGAGCTGATGTACAACTATGAAACATGGAGCTAACAATGACTGTAGTACGACTATGAAACACGGAGCTAACAGTGACTATTGTTTAACCTGACAAGAACAAAAACTGCTTGAACTGTAGTACGGCTATGACACACAGAGCTAACAATGACTGTTGTTAGACTATGAAAAACGGAGCTAACAATGACTGTTGTTTGACTATGACACGTGGAGCTAACAATGACTGTTGTTTAACTATGAAACACGGAGCTAACAATGACTGTTGTTTAACAATTGTTTAACCTGACAAGGACAAAAACTGCTTGCACTGTAGTGCAGCTAGGAAACACTAACAATGACTTTTGTTTAACCTAACAAGGAACAAAAGTGCCTACTGCTTTCGTTGTGGTACAACTATGAAACACTGAGTCAGTGACTACAACTGTTTACCCTGAGAACGACAACCGGGCGGCTTTCGTGTGTCAAGTAGTTGAGGTTGCTGATTCGCACGTTGTTGGGATACCTGGCTGCGATCTGGTTCAAGAAGTCTCTGATCTGTGGGAAGTAGTTGGACCCAAAAAAATCGTCATTACATTAGATCAAGTAAAGTAAAGTAAATGACCCTTTTCCTCTCTTTTAGTCGTATTGGGCATATAGGGTTACACCTATACTTTATAAACAAAATGGCACTCAGTGGGTGATTTGGTCAGCATCACGCGGGCCGACTTTACTTCCAAGGACTGTACCTAGTACCCACTCAAGGCTGGGTCGACCTAGGAGCCACGGTCATTTTTTGAGAGAGAAAAAAGTCCAGCCTCCGTCAGGACCCGAAGCCGTGGTCTCCCGATCAGCAGGCGAGCGTCTAGTCGCTCGACCACTGAGGTTCCCTAACATTGTATCAGAGACTAGTGGATATCATCAACCTAGTACGGAGTGGCTGCTGCATCGGAAGACTGAGCCCGCATTGTGATGCTCAATGTTCGGAGACGGCGATTGTAATAAATAACAAAACGTTACATTACATCACATCAAAGGACTGCCCGTGTTGGGATTTAAACGTTATACATGCAATGCCCGGCTACAGGTAACTTCACACACACACAGAGGTGAGGACCCTTAATGTCGTTGAAACATTATATGTAGTAAGTAAACATACAATATATTGATTTGCACTCACAAAAAGAAATAGAAAGACAGAAGGGCACATTAGACAACATAAAAACCGAAAGCTAAAGTTACTGTAACCGGAATCGATCCCAACACCTCCAGATAAGAAAAGCGCTTTGCTGTGGAAACAAGTACACTAAGACGAACGACCTGCTAGACACCCCTAAACAAGGTGCCTTGACTAGTCATGTCGATCGTACATCTTGAAATCAACACCTATAAAATAGGGACAGCATTCGTCTCAAACCACTGAAATGGCACCATATGTTACATAAATTTATATTTACAATAATCTCAGACAGGTAAACAGCGACAGTCGGGTAGACTTAGACAGGTAAACAGCGACAGTCGGGTAGACTCAGACAGGTAAACAGTGATAGTCAGGCAGACCCAAACAGGGAAACAGCGACAGTCAGGTGGACTTAGACAGGTAAACAGTGACAGTAAAGTAGACTCAGAAAGGTAAACAGCGACAGTCAGGTAAACTCAGACAGGGAAACAGCGACAGTCAGGTAGACTCAGACAGGTAAACAGTGACAGTAAAGTAGACTCAGAAAGGTAAACAGCGACAGTCAGGTAAACTCAGACAGGGAAACAGCGACAGTCAGGTGGACTTAGACAGGTAAACAGCGACAGTCAGGTAGACTCAGACAGGTAAACAGCGACAGGCAGGTAGACTCAGACAGGTAAACAGTGACAGTCAGGTAAACTCAGACAGGGAAACAGCGACAGTCAGGTGGACTTAGACAGGTAAACAGCGACAGTCAGGTAGACTCAGACAGGTAAACAGCGACAGGCAGGTAGACTCAGACAGGTAAACAGTGACAGTCAGGTAGACTCAGACAGGTAAACAGCGACAGTCAGGTAGACTCAGACAGGTAAACAGCGACAATCGGGTAGACTCAGATAGGTAGACAGCGACAGTCGGGTAGACTCAGACAGGTAAACAATGACAGTCAGACAGACTCAGACAGGTAAACAGTGACAGTCAGGTAGACTCAGACAAGTAGACAGCGACAGTCGGGTAGACTCAGACAGGTAAACAGCGACAGTCGGGTAGACTCAGACAGGTAAACAGCGACAGGCAGGTAGACTCAGACAGGTGGACTCAGACAGGTAAACAACGACAGACAGGTAGACTCAGACAGGTAAACAGTGACAGTCGGGTAGACTCAGACAGGTGGACTTAGACAGGTAGACTTAGACATGTAGACTTAGACAGGTAGACTTAGACAGGTAGACTCAGACAGTTGACTTAGACAGGTAGACTTAGACAGGTGGACTTAGACAGGTAGACTTAGACAGGTGGACTTAGACAGGTAGACTTAGACAGGTAGACTTAGACAGGTAGACTTAGACAGGTGGACTCAGACAGGTAGACTTAGACAGGTAGACTTAGACAGGTGGACACTGAGAGTTGAACAGAGACGGAGGGACCCACCTTGCTGTAGGTGTGGTAGTTCTGATGGTCGATGATATTACCGGTAGTCTGGCGCTTGGCCTCCACAATGTGGTCGGGTGTGCGCTCATATCCGGCGTCAACGATGCTGCAACACACAGGCCAACACAACAGTGACCATCTGTGTGTGTCTGTGGGTGTGTATGTATGTGTGGGTGTGTGTATGCGTGTGAGTGTAATTGTTTGTGTGAGTGTGAGTGTGTGTGGCTATGTATGTGTGTGGGTGTGTGTGTGGGTGTGTGTCTGTGTGTCAGCGTAATTGTTTGTATGAGTGTGTGTGTCAGTGTGTGTGTGTCAGTGTGAGTTTCTGTGTGTGTGGGTGTGTGTGTGGGTATGTGAATGTGATTGTGTTTGAGTGTGTATGTCTGTGTGTGTGCACGCGCGTGTGTGTATGAGTGTGTGTATGTGTGTGTGTGATTAATTGGGAGGGAAGGGACTACGTGCGTGCATTTATGTTTGTTTACTGAATTTGTTTAGCTGTTGCTGTTGCTGCTGCTGTTACTGTTGCTGCTGCTGTTACTGTTGTTGCTGTTGCTGTTGCTGTCGTTAATATCATCAAAACCTCTTTTACGTTTGAAGATAAAAAAGTTAGTGAAGGTACCGTTGTCGCCACCTGGGTTGCGTTGCCTACATGGTGTCAGTTCAGTGTTCTCATAGATCACATGGCAAACTTTGGGTCACGTGTGCGCCGCTATTGCTTCACACAGCATTTCGTGGTGCTCAATTTAGACTCATTTAACACATGACCAAGGGGTCTGTGGTGGTTGTGTTCTACTACAGCAGCAGTAGTAGCAGCAGCATCAGCAGCAGTAGTAGTAGTAGTAGTTATAGTAGTAGTAGTAGTAGTAGGTAGTAGTAGTAGGTAGTAGTAGTAGTAGTAGTAGTAGTAGTAGTAGTAGTAGTAGTAGTAGTAGTAGTAGTAGTAGTAGTAGTAGTAGTAGTAGTAGTAGTAGTAGTAGTAGTAGTAGTAGTAGTAGTAGTAGTAGTAGTAGTAGTAGTAGTAGTAGTAGTAGTAGTAGTAGTAGTAGTAGTAGTAGTAGTAGTAGTAGTAGTAGTAGTAGTAGTAGTAGTAGTAGTAGTAGTAGTAGTAGTAGTAGTAGTAGTAGTAGTAGTAGTAGTAGTAGTAGTAGTAGTAGTAGTAGTAGTAGTAGTAGTAGTAGTAGTAGAAGTAGTAGTAGTAGAAGTAGTAGTAGTAGTAGTAGTAGTAGTAGTAGTAGTAGTAGTAGTAGTAGTAGTAGTAGTAGTAGTAGTAGTAGCAGCAGTGTTATTACAATAACTATTATTACTACTGCTGTGGTTATCGCTGCTACCACCACTACTACCACGGCTGTTAATATCTCTAGGGTGCCTTTTACAGTACCGCAGAAATAAAATTCTTTTTTTTTCTTCTTCTTCTTCTTCTTCTATTTCTTCTTCTTCTCCTTAGAGTCCATGCCGTGTGGCGTTAGTAGTCATGTCTATCCAAAACCTTTTGTCTCGTGTACTTTCAATCAACTCTGACACAGACGACCCTCCATGCCATGATGTCAAACTGTCCAGCATCTGTTCTCTCGGTCTCCCTCTGCCTCTCCTCCCCTCCAACTTTTCTACCGTCACCATGTACTTGAGTTGTTTTCCTTCTCATGACCAAAGAATGTAGATTGTCTCTTTCTGGTGTGGGCAATGAGTTCTCTTTGTGAGTCAATGTCTTTCAAAACATCTTCATTAGTCTGTTTATCCGTCCAGGGTATTCTCATCATTCGTCTATAAAACCACATCTCCGTAGCTTCTAAATAAACCAATTTACCAAGGGTCCATGATTCACATCCGTATGCCAATATAGGATTTATGTAGCTTTAAAGAATTCTCTGTCTCGTCTCAATTGACAAAGAAAGATTGCATAAAATATTCTTTATTTTGTAAAATGCGGCTTTTGCCTGAGCTGTTCGATTTTAACTTCCTTAATACATATTCCAACTGATGTTATCAGGGCATCCAAGTACTTATACATAGCAATTTTTTTTATGATTTTTCCATTTACTTTGATGTTGTATTTTGAAGAGTTGGTTTTCTTTGTAATTACCATAAGGTTTTTTTTTTTTTTTTGGTTCTAACTAAGACACTTGTTTTCACTTTCCGTAACAGTTATATCCAACATTTCTTGCAAGTTGTGTTTCGTTTTTAGCGATCAAAATTGTATCGTCAGCATATTGCATGAAATCGAATCAATGCGTTAAAAAAGGTACTGTTAATGCGTACCGTTAGAAGACATCTTGGTCCTTTGTCTTTTACTATTACGGTTATCAATATTACAGACACCCAACAGTAAAATGTTAACCTCGAAAACACTTCAGACACCAGCTATCACATAGCAGCATCGGCCAACCCCTGATGACAAAAACGACACACCAACCTTTGAACGTCATCCGACATAAGCACCAAATTCATATCTTGTTCGGCGAGGGTGTTCTTGAAGTCCTGCAGGACATGTGGGGGCACCAACACGGTGCTGTTTCTTTGTGGCGCCGGGTCTTTCCAGAAGTCCAACTAATAGTGATGTCACAAACATGGATTAGTCACAAAGATGGATTAGTCAACAAACAAGGATTAGTCAACAAATCAAGTGACAAGATTTGAAATTTGGAGACATTTTCCTGCAAGATTTGACGGATTAGAAGAGGGAGGAAGCAATAAAAATTATGCTTTTTTTATGTTGTGGTTCCTGTGCTGTGTTGTGATTTACAGCTGACCTGTGATATCTGTGTCTTCCAGTCCAACATATTTCAACGCAGCCTTATTTCGCCATTTTCGGCATGCTTCTTAAAGAGTAGGGGTCTATTCTTAATTTCCCTAAAACAAGAGCGCGAAACCGTGCAGGGGAAAAACAATAAGGCACTGATGGGGATGGAGGGGGCGGGGGTGGGTGAAGGGGTAAATGAAATAACAGATTGTAGGCTAATGGCTACATTCAAATGTGTTTTCAACGTCGAAATAGACAGAGAGGCAGAAAGAAAGAGATATAGGAGGAAAGGAAAGAAGAAATGATAGAAAGAAAGAGACATAGAAAGAAGGAAGAATTCACGCGGAATGAATGGAAGAGTTACAGAAAGAAGGACTGAACGAATTTACAACAACAACAAAAAATACAGGAAAGAATGACTGAATGACTGAATGAATGAATGAATGAATGAATGAATGAATGAATGAATGAATGAATGAATGAATGAATGAATGAATGAATGAATGAATGAATGAATGAATGAATGAAGGTAAACAGAGAAAGGGATGGTTGGGAAAAAATTAACTGAAAGAAGGTGGGAAGATAGTTAGAAAGGAAGGAATGACTGAAAAAATAAATCACAGGCGAATGAGTGGAGGAAACAGTATATCATACATTGATTACATGGAATGTAAAAACTAAGCAGGTACACTAATACACACTGCATTTTAAACTTATCCTTCTAAAGGCTCATAACTATAGTGAAACAAGCAGCCCTGCGTGGAACTGGCTAATGATTGTAGCAGCAAACATACCTCGGGGTGTCTCTCGCCCAGTGCAGACAGCAGATCCGCGTCCAGATTGTTCCTGGCATACACCGACAGAAGCTCGTATCTGCACAAATACACAGTTTAACAGTCAGCCAAAAACTGGACAGTTGCATCTAGTACAGTTTTGGAAGATACATATATGCAGTGACAGAGACTGGGGCCTTACCAGGTAAATTTGCCCGCAGGCAACAGTGGTAGACTATAGACAACCTTTATTGTGCCGACTACACGTCATTTTTTTTTTATCCTCTGGAAGATCTAGTTTGTGTCACCGGGGCCCTCGTGGGAAGCAAAGAATAGTGACACTGCTCCCTACCAGGCATGTCGTAAGAGGCGACTAAGGGTAGGGTTGGGTTTGAGGTTGGCTACCTCATCCTGTAAAAACAATTGCTACAAAAACCCACCAACCATGGATAAGTCAAAAAGAGAAGCAAGTAATACCCAGCCCACCAAGAAAAGGGAAAACAGCATAACTAGAATGTCTTTGCATTGGAACCCACATGGGCATAGGAATAAAGGGAGGCCAAAAGACACATGGAGAAGAAAGCTGGAGAATGAAGTTAGAATGATGGGAAGGACATGGGTAGAGCTCCATGCAATGGCGAAGGATAGAACGACTTGGCGTGTGTTGGTTGAGGGCTTATGCTCCATTGGGGGAAAGAAAGGCAGGAGAAGAAGGAGAAGACCCGAGTGCTGGCGATCCAGCTTCCTTGAGCACCGAGCGGGGCTTGTTTAAATCGTCATGAGGCCAGTGTAGAATCAGGAATATACACTAGGAACTTACATAAGAAAGAAAGTAAGTAAAGGACCCTTTACCGTGCCTTTAAGCTTATTGGGCACACAGGGCTAGACTATATTTTGTAGGCTTGAGAGGAAATGAACGCAAACGAGCACTAAAACAACTGGGCGAGGCCGCTGAGAGAGCTTCGAGCTGGCTCTGGACACAACGGAACGTCGTGGGGGATGGGCCTCGGTGAGCTGGTCCGGGTATCTAGTGGAAAAGAATGTCTCATTGCATTAAGTCTATCGTGTCCGAAGTGTCTGCCAGTGTCCCTCTGCCACCTGCCAACAAAGTCTAACATGTGTCCGATAACCCAAACGTAAGCTTGCCACTTGGTCGTCAAGGTAAGCTGACTGCTCTAATTATGCTACCGCAACGACTTCGTATCTCACAGTACCTTTTGCAAAGTCACCAGTTCGTCTTGTCCCTGTCCGATAACATCCGGTAATACGTTCAGCAGGAGAAACCAACCCTAAGCCTCATGAACTCAGCTGGGCCCACTCTCTGAAAATGTCTAGGAGCTCGTGGGCCGAAACATTTGTCGACGAGAGATTACTTCTACCGATGATTGGTAGACTCCTGCCGTACATGCTCCCCTGTGGAGTTTCTTCTTATTATAGACCAATTGGCATTCGATGTGTTATGTGGTCAACATCTCACCGGGCGTCTTTACTTCCCATGACTACACCTAATACCCACTCAAGGCTGGGTCGACCTGAAAGCTAAGGTAATTTTTTAAAAGTCTGCCTCCATCGAGACCCGAACCCACGACCTTCAGAACCTTAGGCGGGCGTCGAGCACCTTCACCACGTTGGCTCCCGCTTATGTAAATATGTACGTAAAAGACAATGAAAGTGAATCACAAAGACGAAAGAATGTGAGAAATTAAACAAATAAAGGCTAGAGAAAGACACTGAAAAACATAGAAAGACGTTGAATGGCAGAGGAAGTAGATGAAGAACACAGACATGAAGTAGATGACAGAGAAATGGGTTTGAATAACGACAGAAATAAGTATAAGTAAACAACACAGACAGAAGGGAAAACATGGATGTGCCAGAAACCATTTACCCCTTGAAGCTAAACTTCTCAGTCCACACGCCGGCTATTGCCAGCAGAACTAGGCAAAGGGTCAAGGTTATACGAGCAGCCATGTTTACGCTGAAAATGTAAGAGAAAAAAAATGAAGAAATGTTTGATTATGTAAATATACGAACTTTTCGTGTTTATTTGTGTGTGTGGTGATTGTGGTGGTTGGGGGGAGGGGAGGGGCGATTTAGATGTTACGTCAACTTCTAAATCCGGCAGACTTTGTCCATGTCTTTCTAGATGGTGTCAATATAATTATGACATTATACTTGGTACTCACCAATCTCCCAGTGATCCAGGATCGAGCATCTACCCTTCTAGGCCATGGTTCTCATCCTTTCCAACGCCACGACCCTTTAATACAGTTCCTCGTGTTGTCGCGACCCCCAACCATACAATTATTTTCAATGCTACTTTATAACTTCAGTGACCCCTGTAAAAATGTCGTTGGGCCCACAAAAGGGTCTCGAACCACGGGTTGAAAACCGCTGCTCCAGGCCAAGCTTCACATATTCGTGTGCACAATACAGAACACATCACGCAGCAACTGAACTCGACAGGAGCAGTTCGGCGCCCTTGGCGAAATATAACAATTATGAAAATTGACCCATAGAAAACATTATTTATAGCATTCTGATTCTTCTATGATGAGCTACCGACCAAGGTCTGTGCCGTGATGTAATACAGAGAGGCAGTCGCATCAGGCGGTACCGTAAAGGGGGGGGGGTGAATAAGCAGCGACATCAGAATACAATGTGAACACTTGAGGGGCGGCATTTCAAAGACTTGCATCATACTGAGAACATCTACCGCACGGTCATGTGCTGGCCCAGCAGTTAGAACGCCAGCCACTTATCAGAAGCCCCGAGTTCAAATCCATTGTAAAGGGTTAGGAATTGAGTTTTATTTGTTGGAAACACACACGCGCACACACATACACACAAACACATGCACACACGTGATAACCTAGACAGTTCACAAAGTTTGCACTAGCCATGCAACCCTAAATCTTCAAGCTGAAAATATTTCCGTCCAACCGGCTCTAAAATTAAATACAGGCAGGGTTGCATTTAGACTTACTTACTTACTTACTTAGTCGCTCCTCTTCTACCTTGGGGTGTAGAGGTTTGCCAGAGAGATCGCCAGACGTCTCTATCAGCAGTTTTCTTTCTGGCTTTGTTCCATTCCAGTCCTCTGTCAGTTAAGGACTGTCGGATTTTGTCTTCCCAGCGCACCCTGGGTCGTCCCGGAGGTCTGGTTCCCTGGTTCTTAGACTCCCATGCTTGCCATGGTGGCCGATTTTCTCCCATTCTGCATACATGTCCAAACCATCGTAACTGTGACTGATCTACTCGGGTTACTAAGGGCTGGGTATCAAGATCTTGACGTATTGTCTGATTGCGGACTTTGTCCCTTCTTGTTGCATTTAGACACGATGAGAATCTAAGCTATATAAAGTCTTGAGACCCTTAGAGTTTTAAAGCTCACCAGCTGATTTCAGAAAACTGTTGCAAAAACTATACGCTTTCTTAAATATACATTATCATCATCGTCATCATTTGGCGGCGAATCCTTTGCTGAACGTCGCTCCCCTCACTTTCGGCATGAAAGAAACTCGCTCTCTCGCCAGTTCTCCCACCTCATGTACTTTCATACTCAAGGAGTCACTTATATCCTGTGCCCATCTTTGTGTTGGTCGACCCCTGCCCCTACTTCCTGGTACCATGCCTTCTGCTATTTTTTTTTTTCTTCTCAATCTGCCATGGCGCTTGATATACAGATAATGTACATACATTGTTGTTTAATTCTTAGAAAAATAAAAATAAAATTTTATAGTATATTAAACAAATCACTTTAATTCTCTATTAGGAGAAAATTTTAATTTAAATGTATTAAAAGAAAATTGCACTTGTGTAAAACAGACATTAATCTGCTTAGGCCCCTGTAGTTTCTGAGGCCCTTAACCATAGCCGAAGAAAAATGATTAGATCTCACCAGCCGACTATTTTGAAAGACGCAGAAATACTTAACTCTATCGGTAAACAAAAGATCAAATGGTTTCGACACTCAACAAGACTGGCAACAGCGCACCACAGGGAGCAATTTTATGCACTGTGGTTGCTGCTGAGACTAAAAAGTACTTTATACGAAGCGAACTGAAGGGCGCGTTCCATAGATCTTTTCCTTTCCCGACTCTGCGGGGCATTTCCGGAGTTAAAGAAGAAGAAGAAGAAGAAGAAGAAGAAGAAGAAGAAGAAGAAGAAGAAGAAGAAGAAGAAGAAGAAGAAGAAGAAGAAGAAGAAGAAGAAGAAGAAGAAAGAAGAAGAAGAAGAAGAAGAAGAAGAAGAAGAAGAAGAAGAAGAAGAAGAAGAAGAAGAAGAAGAAGAAGAAGAAGAAGAAGAAGAAGAAGAAGAAGAAGAAGAAGAAGAAGAAGAAGAAGAAGAAGAAGAAGAAGAAGAAGAAGAAGAAGAAGAAGAAGAAGAAGAAGAAGAAGAAGAAGAAGAAGAAGAAGAAGAAGAAGAAGAAGAAGAAGAAGAAGAAGAAGAAGAAGAAGAAGAAGAAGAAGAAGAAGAAGAAGAAGAAGAAGAAGAAGAAGAAGAAGAGAAGAAGAAGAAGAAGAAGAAGAAGAAGAAGAAGAAGAAGAAGAAGAAGAAGAAGAAGAAGAAGAAGAAGAAGAAGAAGAAGAAGAAGAAGAAGAAGAAGAAGAAGAAGAAGAAGAAGAAGAAGAAGAAGAAGAAGAAGAAGAAGAAGAAGAAGAAGAAGAAGAAGAAGAAGAAGAAGAAGAAGAAGAAGAAGAAGAAGAAGAAGAAGAAGAAGAAGAAGAAGAAGAAGAAGAAGAAGAAGAAGAAGAAGAAGAAGAAGAAGAAGAAGAAGAAGAGAAGAAGAAGAAGAAGAAGAAGAAGAAGAAGAAGAAGAAGAAGAAGAAGAAAGAAGAAGAAGAAGAAGAAGAAGAAGAAGAAGAAGAAGAAGAAGAAGAAGAAGAAGAAGAAGAAGAAGAAGAAGAAGAAGAAGAAGAAGAAGAAGAGAAGAAGAAGAAGAAGAAGAAGAAGAAGAAGAAGAAGAAGAAGAAGAAGAAGAAGAAGAAGAAGAAGAAGAAGAAGAAGAAGAAGAAGAAGAAGAAGAAGAAGAAGAAGAAGAAGAAGAAGAAGAAGAAGAAGAAGAAGAAGAAGAAGAAGAAGAAGAAGAAGAAGAAG